CCTGACTGTCAGGGTGATTACGCATGGAACAAATTGCCTAGAGAGGTTGTGGAATCTCTGCCACTGGAGGTTTTTAAGAGCATGTTAGACAAACACCTGTCAGGGACGGTTTAGCTAGTATGCGGTCCTGCCTTGAGTGCAGGGGACTGGACTAGATGATCTCTCAAGGTACCTTCCAGTCCTACACTTCTATGATTCTGTGTGGGCTGACGGCTGGCTGGAGCAGTGTGCGTGTGGAGATGGATGGGATGTGTGTGGAGTTGGATGGATGGATGGGATGCGTGTGGAGTTGGATGGATGGATGGGATGCGTGTGGAGATGGATGGGATGCGTGTGGAGATGGATGGATGGATGGGATGCGTGTGGAGATGGATGAATGGATGGGATGCGTGTGGAGATGGATGAATGGATGGGATGCGTGTGGAGATGGATGGATGGATGGATGGGATGCGTGTGGAGATGGATGGATGGATGGGATGGTGTGGAGATGGATGGATGGATGGGATGCGTGTGGAGATGGATGGATGGATGGGATAGTGTGGAGATGGATGGATGGATGGGATGGTGTGGAGATGGATGGGATGCATGTGGAGATGGATGGATGGATGGGATTCGTGTGGAGATGGATGGATGGATGGGATGGTGTGGAGATGGATGGATGGATGGGATGCATGTGGAGATGGATGGGATGCGTGTGGAGATGGATGGGATGCGTGTGGAGATGGATGGATGGATGGATGGGATGGTGTGGAGATGGAGGGATGCGTGTGGAGATGGATGGATGGATGGGATGGTGTGGAGATGGATGGATGGATGGGATGCGTGTGGAGATGGATGAATGGATGGGATGCGTGTGGAGATGGATGAATGGATGGGATGTGTGTGGATATGGATGAATGGATGGGATGGTGTGGAGATGGATGAATGGATGGGATGCGTGTGGAGATGGATGGATGGATGGATGGGATGGTGTGGAGATGGATGGATGGATGGGATGGTGTGGAGATGGATGGGATGCGTGTGGATACGGATGGGATGCGTGTGGAGATGCATGGATGGATGGGATGCGTGTGGAGATGGATGGGATGCGTGTGGAGATGGATGGATGGATGGGATGGTGTGGAGATGGATGGATGGATGGGATGGTGTGGAGATGGATGGATGGATGGGTTGCGTGTGGAGATGGATGGATGGATGGGTTGCGTGTGGAGATGGATGGATGGATGGGTTGCGTGTGGAGATGGATGGATGGATGGGATGGTGTGGAGATGGATGGATGGATGGGATGCGTGTGGAGATGGATGGATGGATGGGATGCGTGTGGAGATGGATGGATGGATGGAGAGGTATGTCTGGGAATGGATAGATGGATACATGGATGGAGGAGATGTGTGTGGAGATTGAGGGAGGGGAACATATACATATGATTTGGCTATCAGATCACTTCACCTCCATACTCCATGAAGAAACCCTAAATCGATAAAGCCTGTAACACCACTGCAGCTGACATCTGATAGCACTGTTAGTATTTATTAGTAAATATTCACCCTTTTAGTCCTTTACTTTCAGCATATTTGATTCATTTATATATCAACTATGCTTTAGAATCTTTATGATATTAACAAAGGAGATGTTTGAATTCTAAGGACCAAAACACTGGGCCTTGTTCTATAAGTAACCCTAGTCAGGTATTCTATCTATTAGGCTTTAATCTAATAATCTGTGGCATCTCCATGCCTATAGAACTCCAGATATCCTTGATTCCCTTAATCAGAGGCTAAAATAGGGAAAGAACAAGTCAAAAATTACTTAGACAAGTTAGATGTCTTTAGGTCCCAGGGCCTGATGAAGTGCATTCTAGAATGCACAAGGAACTGACTGAGGAAATATCTGAACCATTAGCGATTATCTTCGAAAAGTCATGGAAGATGGGAGAGATTCCAGAAGACAGGAAAAGGGCAAATATAGTGCCAATCTATAAAAAGAGAAATAAGGACAACCCGGGGAATTACAGACCAGCCATCTTAACTTCTGTACCCAGAAAGATAATGAAGCAAATAATTAAGCAATCAATTTGCAAATACCTAAAAGATAATAAGGTGATAAATACAGTCAGCATGGATTTGTCAAGAACAAAACTTGTCAAACCAACCTAATTAGCTTTCTTTGACAGAATAACAAGCCTTGATGGAGGGAAGCAGTAGACGTGGTATATCTTGATGTTAGTAAAGCTTTTGATACAGTCTCACATGACCGTCTCATAAACAAACTGGGAAATGCAACCTAGATGGAGCTATTAGAAGGTGGGTTCATAATTGGCTAGAAAATCGTTCCCAAGGAAAGAAAAGGAGTACTTGTGGCACCTTAGAGACTAACCAAGTTCCCAGAGAGTAGTTCTCAGTGGTTCACAGTCATGCTGGAAGGGCATAATGAGTGGGGTCCCGCAGGGATCAGTTCTGGGTCCAGTTCTGTTCAATATCTTCATCAATGATTTAGATAATGGCAGTACACTTATAAAGTTTGTGGATGAAACCAAGCTGGGAGGGGTTGCAAGTGCTTTGGAGGATAGGATTAAAATTCAAAATGATCTGGACAAACTGAAGAAATAGTCTGTGGTAAATAGGATGAAATTCAATAAGGACAAATGCAAAGTACTCCACTTAGGAAGGAACAATCAGTTGCACACACACACAATAGGAAATGACTGCCTAGGAAGGAGTACTGCGAAAAGTGATCTGAGGGTCATAGTGGACCACAAGCTAAATGTAACTCAACAGTATAACACTGCAGCAAAAAAAGCGAACATCGTTCTGGGATGTATTAGCAGGGGTGTTGTAAGCAAGACACGAGAAGTAATTCTTCCGCTCTGCTCTGCGCTGATTAGGCTTCAACTGGACCATTTTGTCCAGTTCTGGGCACCACATTCCAGGAAAGATGTGAAGAATTGGAGAAAGTTCAGAGAACAGCAACAAAAATTATTAAAGGTCTAGAAAACATGACCTATGAGGGAAGATTGAAAAAATTGGGTTTGTTTAGTCTGGAGAAGAGAAGACTGAGAGGGGACATGATGACAGTTTTCAAGTACATAAAAGGTTGTTACAAGGAGGAGGAAGAAAAATTGTTCTTCTTAACCTTTGAGGACGGGACAAGAAGCAATGGGCTTAAATTACAGCATGGGCGGTTTAGTTTAGACATTAGGAAAAACTTCTTAACTGTCAGGGTGGGTAGGCACTGGAATAAATTGCCTAAGAAGGTTGTTGAATCTCCATCACCGGAGCTTTTTAAGAGCAGGCTGGACAAACACCTGTCAGGGATGGTCTAGATAATACTCAGTCCTGCCATGAGTGCAGGGGACCGGGCTGAACGACCTCTCGAGGTCTCTTCCCGTTCTATGATTCTATTAATGTAGATCTGATGCTGACATAAGCATATATAAACCTGGGATTGATGAGGGGTGATGTTTCGTAGGGGAAATCACTAGGGAAGAATGACCATGGGGAAAGGAGGACCCACTGAGAGAGATTATCTTGAACAACGTTGGTCGTCTCCACTGTAAATAATGATGCCTTCACACATCAATCGGTAAAGATTTCCTCTGAAAGGAAATCCCATCGGAACAGATGGTTCTGGGCAGGGGGCTGGGACCATGTGCATAGTGAGGGTTCTGAGAGCCACTGAACCAAACTGTAAACCCTGGATATGATGGAAACTGATTCAAGCCAGGGGGTGCAGCAGCACCCCCAGGACCCCTAGTCCTGGGGGCGGGGTTTGTGGCAAGGAGGGGTCTCTTTGTCTATGTATTGACAGAAGGTTTGGAACTTAGTTGGAGGATGAAACTGCGTGTCCCACCAGTTCCAGTGGAAAAGGGACACGGCCGACTCTGCCCCTCACCCCGGGGTGGGGCTGGATCTGTTCTTTCTGTGCCAATCTCCGACTGTGGATTTTGGTTACAGAATTCCAGCTGACCCTCTTATGTGACAATCTCAAACTGCCATTAACTTCAGACATGCAACAACATCACCTCTGCCCCTCCTCTGCCAGCTGGGCCAACTCCTCACCCCCACCACCCATGCACTAACTCCCCACCCCTCTCCCGCAGGCTTCACCCGCCTCCCCACCCCCATCTGGCCCTGGCCCTGGCCCTGGCCCTTCTCCCCAGCCTGGGGGGGGGGGAAGCCGGGAATGGGGGACCAGCAGGGAGCTTAGTTCAGGCAGCGTGACCCTCTCGTGTTCTCTGCCCAGCCATCTGGCACTGTTAATGATCAATTTCTGCTGCAGTTCGGGGAGTGGAGTGGGATCAGAAAAGAGGTAGAGGGGAGTGTGGATTCGGAAGGGGGCAGACGGGTGTGGGATATAGGATTGGGAGCATGGGATCAGGGCCCATCGGAGGGGTGGGAGCAAGGATTGGGGAGGTGTGGGGGACTGGAGAAGGGGGTGTTGGATCAGGGAAGGGATTGGAGAAGGAGCAGGGACATGGGATCAGGGATCAAGAAGGGTGGGAGTGTGAAATATGGGACCGGGAAAGTGGTGAGATCAGGGATTGGGAAGGGGTGGGGTGTGAGATCTGGGACTGCGGGAGGGACATGGGATCAGGGATTGGGGAGCGGTGGTGGTGTCAGATCTGGGATTGGGGAAGGGGTGGGATCTGGGATTGGGGAAGGGGTGGGGGTGTAGGATATGGGACGGAGGAAGGGGAGGGATGTGAGATCAGGGTTTGGGGGGCAGGGTGGAATATGGGACTGGGGAGGGGTGGGATCAGGTATTCGTAAGGGGTGGGAAGGATATGGGACTGGGAGAGTTGTGTGATGGGGGAGGGGTGGGGGGATTGGAGATGGGGGTGTTGGATCAGGGAAAGTAGGAGGGATTGGGGAGGGGGGAGGGGCATGGGTGGGATCAGGGATCCCCCAATCATAGGGGGCACGGCGCTGGCTCGGGCAGGGAGTGGGATGTGGGATTGGGGCAGGAGCAGCCCGCGGCCCAGCTCCCTGCGACTCACTCACCGTCTTTCTCAGCCATCTCCTTGCAGCGGTTAATGATTGACTGGGGCCACTGGGCCGGGCCAGACAGACCCCGCTCCCCTGGCACCCGGCAAGTCCTGCACCCTGGGGACAGAAAGCACAGTGGGGCGGTGACTACAGGGTTCCCAGCCCTGGCTGGCGCCAGTGAAGGACTCCCGGGCTCTGAGATCCCGCCCGGGGACCCCAAATCCCCTGCCTCTGCAGCCTTTCACCCCACAAGCCTGGACACACAGGGATGGTTTGCTGGGAGCTAAGGTACAGCTACCTCTCAGGCGGGGCAGCTGGGGAACAGCTGCACGTAACATCGCAAGGGGACAGCTCACCCGGTGCTGACATGCAGCCACCTCTGGGGTGGGGCCCGATTCTGTGCTGTCCAAGCTCCACGTACTGAGCCACAGCCCCTGCAAGCCCATGGGGCAGGCACTGGCTGTGGGCGCCGCACTGAGGAGAGACAACCACAGCAGCCAGCCAGCCACTGCCGAGCCTGCACTGCTGTTTTGGCAACGGGCAGCACTGGATAAACCATACCCCCATGCGCCTTTCCATCTACCCATCCCCCATCCAGCCACCCTCCCCTTCCCCCCACGCACCCCTCCATCCACCCCTCCATCCCCCCACGCACCCCTCCATCCTCCCATCCCCAAACCAGACACCCACACATCCCCCCCACACGCACCCCTCCAGCCACCCATCCCCCATCCAGCCACCCTCCCCTTCCCCCCATGCACCCCTCCATCCATCCCCCCACGCACCCCTCCATCCTCCCATCCCCAAACCAGACACCCACACATCCCCCCCACACACACCCCTCCAGCCACCCATCCCTCATCCAGCCACCCTCCCCTTCCCCCCACGCACCCCTCCATCCTCCCATCCCCCAACCAGACACCCACACATCCCCCCCACACGTACACCTCCCTCCATCCATCCATCCCCCATCCAGCCACCCGGCCCTCCCCCCATGCACCCCCCATATCCAGCCACCCCTCCATCCACCCACACATCCCCCCCACACACACCCACACATCCCCCCCGTGCACTCTTCCATCCATCCATCCAGCCACCTGCTCCTCCCTGCACACACCCCCATCCAGCCACCCGCCCCTCCCCCCAGGCACCCCTAAATCCAGCCATCCCCCATCCAGACACCCACCCATCCCGCCCACACATCTCAGTCCACCCATCCATCCCCCCACATGCCCCTCCATCCACTCATTGACCCCACTCACCCCACCCTCCCCATTCTCCCTCACACCCCTCCACCCATCCACCCACCCCACATACCCATCCCCCAGCGGGAGGAGTGATCTGGGTGTGGTGCCCAAGGGGCCGGGAGATTTGGGGCACAGTGCCCAGTGGGGGTCAGAGTGGGGAGCTGAGTTTGGAGCCCAGGGGAAGGGGTGATGTGGGTGCGGTGCCCAGGGAGCCCGGGACAGGGGTGTCTGTGGTGGGGGTGTCTGAGCACGGTGCCCTGGGTGGGGGTGCCCGGGGGGGGGGGTGTCCGGGGCACGGTGCCAGGGGTGGGGGAGTCCGGGAGCAGTGCCTGGGGCAAGGGAGTCTGGGGCGGCGGGTGCCCGGGGCGGGAGGTCCCTTACCGGCGACACGTCCCTCCCGCTCCGGCTGCCTGCGGGCTCACCGTGCTGCTGGCCGGAGCTCCCCCGAGCTAGGCGGCTGGGCGCGGGCCGGCATGGCGGGGGGCGCCGGGCTCAGCGGGCCGATGGCTCACCCGGGGCGGACGGAGCCGGGGGCCCGGGAGGGGAGGACCCGGGCAGGGCTGCCCAGTGGGCGTGGCAGCTCCAGGACACCTGTGCACGCCCCCCCCAGCGCCCCCCGGGGAGGGGGCAGGGGGCCAGGCTACACACAGCACAGGTGGGGGGGGGGGACGGTAACTGGAGGGGAGAGGGGTCTAACGGTTGGGGGGCGGGGTCTGGGAGCCAGGACTCCTGGGTTCCATCCCACCTCTGGGGGGAGTGCCCTGCCAGGAAGTCTCTCCCCTCGCCGTCCCGGGGGCTGGCTGGGCAGGTAGCCCCCCCTCCCCCCCGCATTTTCCTGGCAGTGTCGCTTACCGCTGCCGCCTCCCTTCGCTCAATGGGGCCATTGTGTCCTGTGCCCCTCGGGGCTCCCCTTAGCCTGGGCACGGGCTGGGAGGAGGGGAGTGGGGGCGGCAGATGGGAAACCTGCCCTGGCTGGGTCCCAAGCTGCTGGCTGCTAGGCCTGGCATTGTCCAGGGGAGGAGCCCACACTCTACTGTCCCCCTTCGACCCCGGGTATAGAGGGGAAACTGAGGCACGGTGAGATATTCAAGGGTAGAACCCAGGAGTCCCTGCTCCCAGTCTCTGCTCTAACCACAAAGCGGGACAGCCAGCTAACAAGGGCCCCCATTTGTCAATGGGCTCACAGCAGAGGCTAATGTTGGCTTAACACTAATTTGCAACCCTGGAAAGGCTGCACCACAAAGTGTCTCCTCTTACAGCCCGGTGTAAATCAGGAGGGACCCCATTGCAGTCACTGTGGTGGATCCCCCTCTCATAACACTGGTGTAAATCCACTGATGCATCTGACTGCAGCCTGCCCTGTTTCTCTCCCCCCCACCCCCATTGGCCCCTTTCCCATAGGCAGAAAGGGGCCAATCCTGCGCTCTGGGCCTGCATCCAGCCAGCCCCTGGAACAGGCGCCTGAGGATGGCAGGGACAGGCAGCTCCCAGCTCCCCAGGCCAGAGGGGTTTGCTGACTCGGGTCTCTAAGTGCCTGCTCCAGCTCGGAATGAGCCCGGAGGTGCCGGGAATCAGCCTACTGCCCCCCAAGTCCTGCTGCCACTCTCGATTTGCTCTGGTTAATGCACAGCAGGTTATAGCATGTCTGTGCTAGATTGGGAGGGGAAACTGAGGCACACAGTGGGGGAGGGACTGGCCCAAGGCCGCATGGCAGGCCAATGGCCCAGCTAGGAACAGAATCCAGGTGTCCCGAGCCTTAGTCTAGTTCTCCACCAACTTGGCCATGCAGGACAGAAAGTTATAACCCTGAGAGCCCAGATCAGTTGGAATGAAATGACCAACACTGGCCACTAGACAAGGTCAATGTCCCACCAGCCACTTATCAGGGGCATTTCAGTATCCAGTGCAGGCAAGCGAATCTGGGAACCTTCGAGGGAACCCATTTCCCATTAGAGAGATTGGGGCCCCCCATTGTGCCAGGCACTGCACAGACCCCGACTGAGATCAGGGCCCTGTTGTGCCAGGCGCTGCACAGACCCTGACCAAGATCAGGGCCCTGTTGTGCCAGGCTGTCATAAATATAAAGGGAAGGGTAAACACCTTTAAAATCCCTCCTGGCCAGAGGAAAAACCCTTTCACCTGTAAAGGGTTAAGAAGCTAGGATAACCTCGCTGGCATCTGACCAAAATGACCAATGAGGAGACAAGATACTTTCAAAGCTGGAGGGGGGAGAAACAAAGGGTCTCTCTGTCTGTGGGATGTTTTTGGCCAGGAACAGAACAGGAATGGAGTCTTAGAACTTAATAAGTAATCTAATTAGATATGCGTTAGAATCTGTTTTGTTTAAATGGCTGATAAAAAAAACCTGTGCTGAATGGAATGTATATTCCTGTTTTTGTGTCTTTTTGTAACTTAAAGTTTTGCCTAGAGGGATTCTCTATGTTTTGAATCTGATTACCCTGTAAGGTATTTACCATCCTGATTTTACAGAGGTGATTCTTTTACTTTTTCTTCGATTAAAATTCTTCTTTTAAGAACCTGATGGCTTTTTTCATTGTTCTTAAGATCCAAGGGCTTGGGTCTGTGTTCACTTATGCAAATTGGTGAGGATTTTTATCAAGCCTTCCCCACGAAAGGGGGTGTAGAGTTTGGGGAGGATTTTGGGGGGAAAGACGTTTCCAAGCGAGCTCTTTTCCTGTTATATATTTGTTAGACGCTTGGTGATAGCAGCAATAAAGTCCAAGGGCAAAAGGTAAAATAGTTTGTAGCTTGGGGAAGTTTTAACCTAAGCTGGTAAAAATAAGCTTAGGGGGGGTTTCATGCAGGTCCCCACATCTGTACCCTAGAGTTCAGAGTGGGGAAGGAACCTTGACACAGGCACTGCACAGACCCCTAACTGAGATCAGGGCCCCGTTGCACCAGGAGCTGCACAGACCCCGACCGAGATCAGATGCCCCCACTGCACTGAGTGCTGCACAGATGCTGTTGTCAGATATTTGGCTGCATGTGTGCATTCTCCGTGTGTGCTGCCCCAGCTCTGCGCAGACAGCCGGCACAGCAGACCTCGAGCGAACCGCCCAATGACCACGAGTTCCGTTAAGGTACGAAGGGACCAGGCCAGGTTTATTGTCAACAAAGCATGGTACTAGCACCTGGCAGACTCTACGTGCAATCCATCCCATCATCCAGATCATTAATTAACTAAAACTTGTATGCATGTGACAATGGACAGCTCAGTGAATGGTGGGACTTTTCATTCCGCCTTTGGCTGGACAAAGATACTCCCTCTGAGATACATCTTTATACCCTGATACAAACAAGTTACATACTGCTTCTGACATAGTCACTGCCCCCTGCTGTGGCTAGTTATTAACCATCACCATGTAGATGTTGGTTTGATCAGAACATTTCTATTGCATACTGTCATCCTGACCTTATTTTTTAAGGAGGGGCCAGTGTGTTCCTGTTACTCTTGGGGAATGTTTTTGTACCATCCTTGATATTGGGATGTTCTTGTACCACTTGATATCAGGCTGTGTTTCCATGAGTGCTCTGTGCCTAGCACTTCTTAGCAATGTGTATTTCTGCAATATCAGCCCTGTTCTTGAGAGATTCTGTGAGCAGGTCCTGCCTCATACCAGGCCTCTGATACAAGGGCTTATGTCTCAGGCTCTCTTCCTACTGCATTCCCCTACTTTTTGTCTTTTTATGCAGAGGATGTTTACCCATCGTCCCAGAAAAGCATAATGCATGGACTGAAGATGGCCCAGTGGACTAAACACTGTTATGTGACCACCTTACTTTTCCATTCACACATGCATAGAATCATATAGAAGATCGGGGTTGGAAGAGACCTCAGGAGGTCACCTAGTCCCACCCCCTGCTCAAAGCAGGACCAACCCCAACTAAATCATCCCAGCCAGGGCTTTGTCAAGCTGGGCCTTAAAAACCTCTAAGGAAGGAGATTCCACCACCTCCCTAGATAACCCATTCCAAGGGCACACTGCTGACTCATATCCAGCTTCTCATCCACTGTAATCCCCAGGCCCTTTTCTACAGAACTGCCACTTAGCCAGTCTGTCCCCAGCCTGTAGCAGTGCATGGGATTCTTCCGTCCTAAGTGCAGGACTCTGCACTTGTCCTTGTTGAACCTCATCAGATTTCTTTTGACCCAATCCTCCAATTTATCTAGGTCACTCTGGACCTTATCCCTACCCTCCAGCATATCTACCTCTCCCCCCAGCTTAGTGTCATCCACGAACTTGCTGAGCGTGCAATCCACACCATCCTCCAGATCATTAATGAAGATGTTGAACAAAACTGGCCCCAGAATAGACTCCTGGGGCACTCCACTTGATACCAGCTGCCAACTAGACATCGAGCCATTGATCACTACCCGTTGAGCCTGACAATCTAGCCAGCTTTCTCTCCACCTTATAGTCCATTCATCCAAGCCATACTTTTTAAACTTGCTGGCAAGAATACTGTGGGAGACCGTATCAAAAGTTTTGCTAAAGTCAAGGAATAACACATCCACCACTTTCCCCATACCCGCAGAGCCAGTTATCTCATAGAAGGCAATCAGGTTGGTCAGGCATGACTTGCCCTTGGTGATTCCATGTTGACTTTCTGATCACCTTCCTCTCCTGCAAGTGTTTTCAAAATGGATTCCTTGGGACCTGCTCCATGAGTTTTCCAGGGACCATGACTGAGGCATGGGGTATAATCTGTGAGTGACATAAGGAGTCCTTTATACTTTGTTGGTGGTTGATGATATGGGCTTTGGTCAGGATTATAATATGCATATTTGTTTATGTTTGTACCTTATACATTTTTATAGGACACATTTGGTTTAACACACGCTGCAGAGTATTAAAGTATACAGATGTCCAACAGCCCTTACAAACTGTATAAATTCAAGCATTTTCTGTTAAAACATTAATAAGCATTTGATTATTTCTTATAAAGATTATTCTTTACTATGGCAGTGTCGATAGCTAGTTTTGTTTGTTGGTTTGGTTTTTAACCAGGTGTTGTAATTTGGCTTTTTTGGTTTGTCATTGCATGTAGCAACACATTCCCATCAGTGCAATTACCGTTATGGCTTGTATTCCCAGCAGTGTTACACGAAGTGTTTGGATGCTTGGGTGTCGAGTAACATCCTCTGGGATTGCCCACCAAGTTGTTTCCTGTTTGCACGCCTTCTACTTCTTCTATTGGATAAGAAGGGCTGTGGGTATTAAGGCTTCCTTAGTTCTTGCCACCAACTCATGTATGTCCAACTGTAATTGCTCCACTGGGGGAAACAATTCAATCAATAAATGTTCTAGGTTGCCAGGAGGAGTAACAATATCGAGTGCTGACAGTCCTTGCTGGCCAAAAGGCCTGGGTTCCGATTTGGACTGCGCTAGTGACTTGCACACAAAATCATGTATTGATTCCAGGACAAATGTTTTCCATGTATAGAAAAACTGGAATATCCCAGAGCACATACCCATCTTGTATTCGTTCTACCTCATTGACTAATTCTTTTTGTACCAGTAAGCAGAGGCGCCAACTCCATGGGTGCTCCGGGGCTGGAGCACCCACAGGCAAAAATTAGTGGGTGCTCTGCACCCATCGGGAGCCAA